TGGGGAACAGCAGCACAGGGATATGCTTCAAGGAGGCTTTTCTCACTGCTTGGCAAGGTGGTGAGTGATGGGGGGGCGGTTCTCAGCATGAGGGTGGGAGTGCAGGGGTGAAGCTGGAGTAGGCCCCCAGCACGGCCCCAGACTGCTCACACACACCTGTCAAGCCAAGACCCTGCACCCACGGCTCCCTCACAAACACCCTCCGCTGAGACCCCACATCCCCAGCCCTCTCACTCATACCCAAGCAGAGCGAGACCCCACACCTCTAGCCTCCTTACCACCCTGCCAAGAGCTTGCATCCCTGCCACCTCTCACACCTCCACTAAGACCCCTTCCCCCTGGCCAGACACTTACTCCCAGCCTAGCCTTGCTCCTGCCTCCTCCCCACTGGCCAGACACCCTGCTCCCAGCTCACTCCTGCCTCCAGGCCAGATACCTACCCCCAGGGAGGAGGGTTGGCAAGCATAGCTTTCACGCTCTCTTGATCATGAAAGCCGCTGGGGAGGGTGGCAAGCATAGTAAGCAGGGTTGCAGCCCCCTAAATTTTTGTTAAACATACATTGATTTTTATCCACACTGACTGGAAAACAGTCTGGAGTACTTCAGAGGCAGCAAAGTCACAAGGATCTTAAGTCAGGATAGCTTTGTAAAGAACAAATAATGTCAAACTGATCGAATAGCTTTCTCTGATAGGATAACAAGTCTTGTGAATAAGGGAGAAGAAGTGGACATGATATACCTAGACTTTAGTAAAGCATTTGATAAGGTATTGCATGATCTGCTTATCAATAAACTAGGGAAATACAACCAACATGGGGCTACTATAAGGTAGGTGCATAACTGTTCTCAGAGTAATTATTAATGGTTCATAGTCATGCTGGAAGGATATAACAAGTGGGGCTCCACAGGGGTCTGTTTTGGGACTGGTTCTGTTCAATATCTTCATCAACAATTTAGATGACGGCACGGAGAATATGGTTTGTGGCAAGGAGAATATGGTTTGCAGATTATTAAGTTTGCAGATGATGCCAAACTTAGAGGGGTTGCAAGTGCTTTGGAAGATAGGGTCATAATTCAAAATGATCTGGACAAACTAGAGGAATGGTCTGAGGTAAATAGGATGAAGTTTAATAAGGACAAATGTAAAGTACTCCACTTAGGAACAATCTGTTTCACACATACAAAATGGGAAGCGACTGTAAGGAAGGAGTACTGCAGAAAGAGATCTAGGGATCATAGTGGACCACAAGCTAAGTAGGAGTCAACAGTGTGACACTGTTGCAAAAAAAGCAAGCATGATTCTGGGATGCATTACTAGGAGTGTTGTGAACACGACACAAGAAGTGATTCTTCCACTCTACTCTGTGCTGATTAGACCTCAGTTGGAGTATTGTGTCCAGCTCTGAGCACCACATTTCAGGTAAGATGGACAAATTGGAAAAGGTCCAGAGAAGAACAACAAAAATCATAAAGGTCTAGAAATCATGGCCTAGGAGGGAAGACTGAAAGAATCGGGCTTGCTTAAGCTTAGAAAAGAGAAGACAGAGGGTACATGATAGTAGTTTTCAAGTATCTCAAACGGTGTTACAAGGAGTAGAGAAAAATTGTTCTTGGCCTCTGATGATAGGACAAGAAGCAATGGGCTTAAATTGCCGCAAGGGAGATTAGCTGGACATTAGGAATAACCTTCCTAACCATCAGGATGGTTAAACACTGGAATAAATTACCCAGGGAGGCTGTAGAATCTCCATCACTGGATATATTTAAGAGCAGGTTAGATAGACAGCTAGATCAATGTTTCTCAACCTTTCTGTATAAAGAACCCCCTTTAAAAAAATTATAAGTATCCCCAGTACCTAGTTTTCAGACACACAATTTTTTTTCTCTACTATAGCAACACATTTGTTTAAATTATTTAATCGTAGCCGGGCGGGCGATGAAATTTTTGGGTGTAAAAAGTGACTTTTCTCAAGTACCCCTAAGGGTACTCATACCACTGGTTGAGAAACACTGATCTAGATGGTACTTGGTCCTGCTGTGAGGGCAGAGGATGGATTTAATGATCTGTCGAGGTCCCATCCAGTCCTAGTATTCTATGATCTCTGCCCACAAAGAAGTGATAGCTGGAGGCCTGAGATCCAAAGGGGCACTTTCAGATCTCAGGGGGCAGCGGTGCCATTAACTTTACAACTGTGACAGAAGCTATGAGAATGATTGTGGCCTTGTCTTTTTTTTTTTTTTGGAAGTCACCCTAGGGATCAGGCAAATGTATGGAATTAGCAAGCATAATGCCTGTTTTCCACAGCAAAATGAAGCTGTTAAACATAGGTTCATGCCCCTACTGGAACAAAAAGTTTCATCATTTGGTAGATAACCTGTCATTATAGGAAGCTGGTCCCTCACACCAAATGATGAAATATAGGCTCTGATGGAGCACTGCAGAGAGGACGCATAATAGGGCCTGATACATCCTAGAACACTCAAAATGCTGACTGAAGAGATTTCTGAGCTATCAGCAATTATGTCTGAAAGCTCACTGAAGATAGGAAAGATTATAAAAGATTGCTAGAAGGCAAATATATTGTCATTCTTTAAAAAAGGAAATAAAAACAACCTGGAAAACTGTAGACCAGTCATCTTCACTTCAGTACCCAGAAATATAATGGAGCAAATAATAAAGCAATCAATTTGCAAACACCTAGAAGACAGTGTGATAAGTAACAGTCAGCATGGATTTCTCAGCAATAAATCATGTCTAACCAACCCAATAGTTTTAACAGGGTAACAACCATTGTGGATGGGGTGGGAGAGAAAGCAATAGAGAGAGAGAGATCTTGGTTTTAGTAAAGCTTCTGATACGGTCTCAGGACACCTTTTCATAAACAAATGAGGAAAATACATTCTAGATCAGTGGTGGTCTATCTGCAGGCCACAGGTGATCAGCCCATAGATCCCCTGTATGCCCCCAACTCAACGCGCCTCTGGGGCACTGGTGTAGGGATGTAATAGTTTAGTCGATTAATCAATAAGCAAAAGCTTAGCAATTAATGCTATAGACTACACATATCCCACCACCCCTGCCAGAAAATTTTTTAGCAGGCTGGCCAGCAGCAACACTCAGTCCTGGCTTAGGCCTGGTCTGGGACCTACCCCATGGCAGCTTTGCCTTTAAAGTGTATTAGGAGCCAGGAGGACAGGCAGCTCAGCTCAGCCTCATGCCAGGTCCAAGAGCTCAGTCCCCTGCCCTCCCTGGACAGGGGCTGCTACCATCCCACGCTGCTGCCTCTGTATCAGAGGCAGTAGCGCAAGGCGACAGGCCCACAAGGGGTGCTGGTTTTTAAACTGGCTCCCCTCATGGAGCAGCTCCTGCCTGGCACCCCACGCTGCTGCTTCTGATACAGAGGCAACAGAACAGAGTGGCAGGGAGCTTCTCGGGAGCAGGGCCAGAGCGTACTAGCTACTGGCCCCACATCCGGGGACTATAAAATAATAGTAGAGTAACCAATAAGAATTAATTAAGTTAATCAACTAATATTTAACATCCCTACATTGAAGCCCTTCAATTCTCTACTCCTTCCCCTCTCTCACAGCATTTTTGGAGTGTCATGAATCTGCCAAGGTGGAACATCAGGGATAGTTTGTGGCTATTCCATCTCTGGGAGGGACAGGAAGGAGTGGAGAAAAATTGGGTCTCAGCACTTATCAGCATTATGCACCTTTTAATAATTCAGAGTAACATTTAGTATACTTTCACTAAAAGGGGGGCGATGTGGGAAGGGGAGGCTGGGAAGAGACTGTGAGAGCAAGAGCAGCCTGGTTGGGAAAGGGGGACACATAGTGCAAAGGTTGTACAGCGGGAGACGGGGGAGATACAATGGCAGCTCCCCCCACCCATGGGGCAGGGGAGGGCAGAGGTGACTGGTGGTAGCACCTCAGGGCACCAGATCCTATGTCCCTGACAAAATTTCAGTTACTAAATAGGGTGCCCCACATGCCCCACTTCCACTGTGGTTGCCCTTCCCTCTGCAGACCCCAGTTGCCCCAGGGGAAGAGGCTGCCCCACCCAGCAGCTAGAGAAGAATTCTGAGAGTTTTTTTAGTGTTATAGATATCTACAAACTCCGATCAGTTATGACATGTGTGCGTGTGTGTGTACAGATGCAATGTAAAACACCACATGACCTTTTAAAATTAATTACCATAATAAATATGCAAATATACAAATAAAATGTTACCAGTCTGCCAAAAGTTTGTGAGTGGGTTTAATAGTCCGGGGTATTAAAAAAAGGTTGGGAACTACTGCCTTAGAATACTTGAAGTAAAAATAAGTTGTGTTACCCACCTGGTAAATTCTACCTGTCACATAACCCAATCCCACTCTCTGCTCCCAAACCTATGTTGCTGAACTCATTATCTGATCAGACCCATAGCACTCCCATCTTGGAATTTCTCCACTGGCCTCCCCAGTTCTGACATAACTCTCACGTGTACAAAGCCATGTACAGCTATGCTATAGCCTACATCTCTTACTGCAGCTCCACATCCCAAGCCAAAGGTGCCAGTCTTGTTGTTTACTTCATCCACCTTGGTCTTTGCTTTTCTCCACGATGCCCACGTGCATACGGCTAAATTTGCAATTCCTGCTCTCCATGACATCACCTTCCATAGTCCCACCTACAAATTCACTTCTTCTGTTTCTATGAATTTATGTATGCATTTAAGTCCAGAAGGGATCACTGATTTTCTAATCTGACCTCCAGTATAACACATGCCAAAAGATTTCCCTATATTAATTCCTGTTTAAAATAGAGTTTCATAGAAATACGCCCAATCTTGATTTAACAATTTCTAGTGATGTAGACTCTACCACAACCCTTAGTAATTTGTTGCAAAGATTAATTATCCTAACTGTGAAAGTGTGTGATTTATTTGCAGTCTGAAGTTGGATTACTTGAACTTCTAACCACTAGGTCTTGTTACAAATTAGTGAAACACACTTACCTTTAAAGACTGATGAAATCCTAACCATACTTCACATGGTAATTCACTTTCAGGCACAGAAAGCAGTAGTTCAAAACAACTCCTGTAAGAGAAGAGCTATACAAGTAAGATCGCTAAAACACTGCTGTAGCAGCATTACAAAATAGCAAGTCTTTTTTTATTCCCACACATGAAACTATATTGAGATTCAGCTATATCAGGGATTGTCTAGACAGTATTTGGTCCTGCCATGAGGGCAGGGGACTGGACTCGATCTTTCAAAGTCCCTTCCAGTCCTAGTATTCTATGATTCTATGGTTGAGAGTATGTCTTAGTAGCTTATAGGTAGAAACAAAAACAATTACAGGGATGCACTAATTATTGCAAAGCCGTGTATTATAAGCCCAGGAAAATCAGCGTTAAGATTCAATTTCTAAGAAATCCAATATGCATTTTTAACCTTAAGTTTGTCCTATAGCGGCCTCATGAAATAATTATACCATGACTAATGGAGATCCTAGACGTCAACTGATTTTTTAAGATTCATATTAGATTTAATGTTCTGTGCCCGTGACATCACTAAAGGCAAAAATTAAGGTCAAGTTACCATTTTACAGCATGATTAATGTCATTTGCCATACCGTACAATAAAAAAAAAAAAAAAAAACAAAAAAAAAAACACATTTTTACAAGCAGCATGATTCAACTGCAGTGGAGAATGACCATGAAGGGTGTTAGCTCAGCTCTCCTTTCCTGTCCTATATAGAGGTCACACTGAGCAGAAGTCACGGTATGTCTCAGTGCGTGGTCAGAGAAGCTGATAAGAACATGTCTGGTATTGCCAAACACACATACTCCTAAGACATGATAGGTACAGGGCATTCAGCTTGGGGATGTTAACAATTGATTGACTAATCAAGTAATCGATGGAATTTCCATCCACTACTCGATAAGGGGGGGGGAGGCACTCCCTCTGTAGCTCTACACTTTAAATGTAGTAAGAGCCCAGTGGACTCTTACTACATTTAAAGTGCGGCACTGCAGTGGGGTTAGTTTCCTGGGACCACCGAGGTTCTGCCTCCCC